GGGGGGGTGTTGAGGTATGTGATAACCAATATAAAAATTAATTGTTAACATGTTAATTAGAGTGCTAATTATCATTATATATAATTACAAATTATTTTTAAAAATTTCAAATAAAGAAATAAACCTCAAAAATAAGGGTCTGTTTGGTTTGGATTTCAAAAAATAGTATCCGAAAACAGTTTTTGAGAAGAGTTTTAAAAAAACGTATTTTAATGTTTTCTGAGATGAAAAATTTGTTTGGTTACATGATTTCAAAAACAATTTTACAAAATAAAAAATAATAAAACTTGTTTGACAGTTTAAATATATGTTTGAACAATAATTCAAAAATTAATAAAATATATAGAAAAAATTATTTTTAGATTGACAATTTTATTAAAAAAATACAATAAACCAAATTTTAAAATAAACCAACCATATTAAATAATTTTCATCAAAAATAAAATCAATATAAAAAAAATATATCAATGACATTTATCTAAAATAAAACCAAATAGATTCAATAGACAAAATATACAAACACCAATAATTTTTTTTTCAAAAAAAAATAATAACACCAAAAAACACTCACACCATCACACAATATATATATATATACACACACGTCGCCAATAAACACACAATCTATATATATATATATATACACACACATCACACAATAAACACACAATCTATATCAAACTCATCACACACACAATCTATATATATATATATATATATACACGCAGTCACACAATACACACACATCGCCCAGATTTGAAGAAAATCAACACATATTTGAACCCAGAATTGAAGGAGATCAACCCAGATCAACATTGGAGCCCGACGCCTTGAGATCGCTGGAAAGAGAGAGAGAGAGAGAGAGAAATGTTTGAGATCGCCACAACATCTTGCGTGTTTCTCTGGTTTTCGAAAGTGGAGTGAGAGAGAGAGACGAAGGCTTGAGAAAGAAAAAAATAAAAAAAAAGGAGTGACTGCAATAGCTGCTAAGGAAGGTCGAAGGAGGGGCTTCAT